GGGGGGGGGGGGGGGAGGGGTCGATGATTCCGCCGACCAATTTTCTAAAGGAGGATCCCATCGCTCGGCCTACCGCAGCTTCAAGGACGCCCTCGAAAACCCCTTTCCCACAAAAGCACTCGTGGGAATTCGTTAATTCTCGATTTGCTAACTCGCGTCGTCGCTCTCGCAAATAAAGTTGGCTAACGACACGAGAGCCAATTGCTGCCTGAGAACTATGGCACTTGAAATCGGCCTTCTTCGCGCTCCTCCTGTTCTTCTTTTTCTGTGCCTTTCTGCATTTAAGTGAGTGCCAGCTAAGTGAACGACTCTTCGTTCATCCAGTGCATACCCTTTTCGCTATATATATACTATACTTCGCTGTACTTTGGGTATTATGCTGTGCGAAGATCATTACTCTACACTGACGATTAAAGTTCTGATCTCTGGTGCGTTTGGTAGGTGCACCTACATGTAGTCCAAGTGCTTGGACGAGGCCGAGACGATCGTCTGGAGAACTGAAATAGTTTGCGAGTTGAACGTCCCTTCGTTCCTTAACCATTCTCAGGCTTTTTAAGTCCTTCCAAGCCCGGTCGATAAGTCCCGGACTTCTTTCACGTGAGCTGAATGACTCGTCTTGAGAAAGTACAGCAGCCTTTTTGAGTTGTGTATATATACATTATACATATACATATATATATATATATATATATGTTTATGTACCGGCGAATAGATATCTTTACCGGAAAGTAGATATACGCGCGTGCCTGTAAAGGGCTGGTTAAAGAGCCGTGTCTGCATGAACTGGAAGCATATAGCGGCACCAGTCTAAAGGATCGTGTACGCTCGAGAAAGCATGCAGGCTCCTGTATAGGAATACGCTGGAGCATCGTTTGACCATTGACCCGCATTCGAGGTTAAAGGACATAACGGTAATGGGGTAGTGGGTTCACCTCGTCACCTTTCCACTTCCTAGGCGCGAGGCCACTTTCGCCCCATGGGGTAAGCGAGGCCACTTCGCCTCTTCCTCGTAATGCAAACGAGTCACTATGGCAATTTACATTTCCATTAGTCGCGTGTCTCAGCTCCGAACAATAAATCTGGCTTTTCGGCTAATGCGAATTCGTCAGACCTCGCGTTCCCGGGGGCTGAATCTCTGCGGCCGATATAACAGGACAAAGGATGTTAGTTATTTCGACATTGTCTGCGAAGAAATTACATTGCCAACGGGGGGTTTGCAGTGCTTTTTCCAGGTGGTAGAGGCTGAACCTCCCTCGTCCTGCCACTACCCCCCGGTGAAAGGAAAAAGGGCCTGGAAGGCGTTCGTGGGCCATCTTTTTTTTTTTTTTTTCCTTTTCTTTCATACAGAACAACATCTAATAACAGCGCTAACGCCGAGTCATCGCCACGAAGTCTTCCGTCGTAGGGTTCGCACTGGCTCACGGGAATCCTGCGAATTTCCGGAAGTTCACGTAAAAATGTACCGAGAGAGATGAAGGAGCGCCACCTGCTAAGCTTTTTAAAGTGTCTTGCTTATTCAGACTTATTACCCCAGCCAGTCTTCCCTGGGTCCGCCTTAGCTTCCGTGTCGGCAAGAAAACCGGCGGTGCCTCCTTCACTCGGCTCCCAGGCTCGCGCTTGCCTCGCTACGTCATTACCTCCCGGTCTCCCGTAATTGTTATAAATTGCTCCTTCGGTTTGTAAAATGATTTACCAGCCCCTGCGTCCACGTCGACGGCGCCCCATAAGGCTCGCGCATAAATTACGACAATGATTTTCGTCGAAACAACGTAATTTATGACCTCTGACCTCTGCGCACAAACGCCCCGTGCCAGCATCGTAGCCGAGCTAAAATTCTCGTGAAATTTTGATTTTTTTTTTTTTTTTTTTTTTCGGGTTGAAAAAAATTTCCAACTCATCGCGTACCTTGCACAAGGAGACTGTCGTCGGAGACGTCAGCCTCAGGCCACAGTCTCCTGCTTTCTCCTTGCTATCCTACAGGAATATTCCAGGACGAATTTGCTGCAGGGACGCCCGGGTTGTTTCCGAATGAATGCAAGCGCATCCCGGATATGAGGGCGCAGCCGGAAAGACAGTGGAGGTTATGCCGTAGCTCGAGCAGAGAAGAGAGAGGGGAAGAGTTGGTTCGGTGGGAGGGGGGGGGGGCGAGGGTTAATCTCGAGGATGTCTGGCATGATTCCCGGATGGAGGTTTATTGCGTCGTAACATACCGCGGCAGGCAAGAACCGCCCGGCTCCCAAAACTAACCTCAACATACTCGACTCCCATCAGATTTCGTAGCTTTGGGATTTTACGTTCGGGATACACCTTCCGAAAGAATATTATCTTCAATCACGATTCCTGGGATGGAAATCTCCTACAGCGCTTCCGGATACGCGTCTAACATTTATACGCACGCCGTACGACTGCCGTACCACACGAGGATCCTTAGAAGAGGGAAAATAATAAAAAAGAAGAAATTCGCTGAAACTTTTATTTCTACTTCCGGTCCACGAAACGTCACTACAAACTTAAGAGACAAATTGCTCGGGCAATGTTGACGCAGTGACTCACTGACTCTCGTATACGGCGCACTGACTCACCAAGTTCCCTTGAATTTCCGGAGGTGTCGGCGTGCTGGCTACGTGGGAGACCCCCTTGAGCGATTATAACGTTTAGGCGTGGCGTGAGTCGTGAATGCGCTTATTAAACCCATTGTCAAGTTTCCCTTGTAAACTTTGACGAAATCCTATCTTGTTACAGGAGGTACGGTCGGTAACGTATCCTGAGAGTTTGACGTCGTCTCTGCCGCACTAGGACGAGATTCGATCGGATCGCTCGCGGCGAGTCGTCACTTCTGCAAACTCGGGAATTTCAAGAATGCACCTTGGACGGACTGTACTTGCGGGAGGCAGCGGGTGACTGGAAAGTTTTAGGAACTCGCAAGTGAAATGACTCGTGACCTCAAAGGCTTTTCGGGTAAGTCAATAAATTATTTTACAAATTGATTTACCCTGGTCAATGGTTATTATGAAAAAGTTTTTAATGCTAATTACTATCCGTTCACCGTGTATAAGACCGTTGTCGAGTATCAAGACGAGTGACGTCTTAACAAAGGGTTACGGAATTGCCGAAATTATATCTTTTTCACGTACCCAGTGGCTGACCAATAATATACGACAAAGGTATGGTATACTGTTATATCGATGAAACATAATAATCTACTATACCGATGTATAGTATACACTTTGTTATTTTTCCTACTCCTTCTTTGTACGTGTCTACGTCAAATACGAACTCTGCAATTGGACTTCGTTACGGTCCATACAGATTCTCAAGTCCTCTCTCGACAGCGTTTGTCCACAATGGTATTGTTCAAAGCGGGTGGTATATTCTAAAGCGGGTGGTGGTGAAACCAACCGCCATCAAAACTCCCATTCGACTTTCTCAAGTATCTATGAACTCGCAGTGATAAATTAATAGTTGGACCAAAGCTTCTCGGACGGCAGAGAAAATCCCTTTTAGTGCTCCGTATACATGGACTTAGGAATCTCTGCAATTTCCCCGTGACACGTATACCCATCGGGTACCGGATGCTGGAGCGTCGTCAATTGCGAATTAATCTTCAGTGAGACGCGATGGAAAGGCACGTTAAATAGAAACAGCTTGAGTCTCCTGTCGCATCTTCCCCTCCCTCCCCCCACCCATTCCACATACTATGTACGCGTGTGGCGGTCAATTACAGCGAGTAGGTGCGACATGTGCCGTATAGTGACTCAGTGGCGAAGCCCCTACATTTTTTTTTCACCATTAAACAGAGATAGCAGTTTTAACTGATCCGGTAGAGGATAACGAGGCAATATGGCAAAAAGGGTTGACGAGGAGTGTCCTTTGCAAGTTGCAATGGCTCAGCTAGGGGTGTTTCAGACACGAGTCATTTTCTTGGCTAACCGAGATTCCGCCATTCTCACCACACTAATGAGGATACTTCGTGGGATACTAAAACTCTACGAAACGTTGTTGTTGTATATATATATATATATATATATATATATATATATATATATATATATATCGTCCTTCCGAAATATAACAGTTGGCGATTTAAAGCGTCACCGACGTCAAACCCAAACTCCGCGGAGCATCTAGGAGCGGCCGCGATATAAAGTACATCGACGAGGTTAACGTATAATATTATGTTAATAGCGACCTTAACAATAACTCGGTGCGCCTTAATAAATGTTGATGTACGGCGCGATATCGGCAGGCCTATGTAATATTCAAATTATGGTTCCGCCCCGCGAGGTATGGTAGGTAGGTGGAATACGCCGGAGAATTTTTATGGTTTTAAAAGGCCAGGTCGTTCGATTCGGTAGACTGTAACGTGTGGATTTAATGGGACACCCCGTACGTGGTATAGGTACGACCCCCCCCTTACTCCCGACAAATCCTGCTGCTGTCAAAGGAAATATTCATGAAGGACCATTAGTTTACTTGAAACCTAAAAAAAAAAGTCCTTACACAAGGCACTTGTTCTTTGACTTTTATATTGGATTTTGATAGGCTGTCTACGTGCGTTCGTACAGACGATTGATACCCAATCGGTAGGTATAGAATTAATAATCGATCCTCGCGCTGCACTCGTATATCGACTATGGACAATGAACAATCGAAACTCCATACGTAGGCGTGTTTAAAGTTGACGACATGCATGCGCGCACGTGGTGTGATTTGGCTATGAGATTAAACGAGTATAATAATAATAACATCGTAGAAGGAATAAAAGAGCCTTATTTTGTTTTAAAATTATTATATGGTTTCCAAAGCGACCCGCGTTGTTCGCGAATCTAAGGGGGATGGCAAAGTAGGAGGAAGCCACTGCGCTAGGAAAACTTTTATTTCACCGTGTACAATTATTGCCTCGTACGTTCTTGTCTCTCTGTTCGACCTGCGCTCGGTATACGAAACGCAGAAATTCATATACGGTAGCCACTAACGGTCCATTAAAATATGTTTCATTTCAATTTACAGTACGTCGCGCGTAATACCCCGTGTAAACGCATGCCGCCGGATTACATATATTACCAAAATCACGCGGGGTATTCCCTTCGCGAACATTTATTCACTTTGCGTAACGTGCAGTGGGCTATCTTGTTAGTCCGATAATCCGATATTGCCCAGTACGGCATTAAAACGTAAATACCGAGCGTACGCCCGCTCAAGTACACAACAGCCGCTGGACCGAATCTTTTCGGAGCGCGGCAAATGCGAAATCATATCGTGAAGCGAAATGCGGCTTATGCGATACGTGTACATATATGTACCTTAAATAAAAATCCTAAACGGATTAAAGCCCGCCGACGGGATAACCCGCAACGCGACCAAGTATCTCAGCGAAATGGAACGAAAATATCGAAGACGCTGGATACACGAAACTTCAAAGCTTGATCTGCCCTGAATAAAACGTGTACGGTTTCCGTGAAGCGACGAAGCTTTGGTATTTCGTCGGATAGAAATGACAGGGGCAACAAAAAGGTAGTTTAACAAAGTAGAAAATACGCGAAGCGTTGAATAGAGTGATGCTGGTTGGTAGTAACGTTATATCTGATACATGGTTTTCCACGTTATCACGTGTACGCAGGAAAGGGGATCAGGCTGGAAATGACGTTTAGATAGAACGGATGTGACAGTCTGTTTTGACAGTTGCCATAAGGTTGGATTGGTCATTTGGATGAAATTTTTTCGAGCGGATATATGCGAAATCATTTAAAAGTTATGGCCATTCAAAATTACAGTGGCAGCATAGGCAAATTGATGAAGGTGTATAACTGTATGGTGGCTGCACGTCGGCCAGTTTAGCTACGGGTACGTCTGTCCTTCTCTCGCGCGTTTCGGTCGACATACTACTGTCTCGCTCGCACTCGTTTTGATGTATGGAGAACGTCAAAATCATGAGGATTTTTACGTCTTCTTCGATAAAGAGTTTATTCAATGCGGGCTGTCCGCTGTTGGATAAATATGTCAATCGACATTGAAATACCGTGTTGACTGTTTAGCGTTGTCAAATATAGTGTTTAACCGATACGACCGAATGGCAGCTGTCACGTGCTAATGGTGGGTTTTAGCTGAATATATTTGTACCGGCAGTGTCGCGAGGCAGAGATATACGTGTGCGACGAACCGAAGGGAGCAATTGTTTCTCGAAATTCGACATTTGGACTTTTTCTATCTTTCAAAAAAATGGCCGATTCTCGTGTACGCCTCTCTTAGGCTCATCGTGGGCTCTGTGCCTCTATTGTTGTCTGGAGAACAATTTCGACCCCTGTTCCGTGTCGTCACGATCAATGTCTATGACGTCATTAGATAGTCTCTTACGTGCGAACGTTATAGAGAGAAAACAAGCCTCGGCCCTTGTGAAATCTCTTGTAAAAGAAATGGAGCGCTCTCTTGGCCCGCTGCCGTTTCGTACCTTGGCTAGCCTCGCGAAACCATTCAGAATATTCAACCACCGTCTGCTCCGCAATCGGTGGACTCTGGCCAACCGGAGGAAACACTGTCGTGATTAGGGGGACGCGTCGCGACGCTGCTTCAGAAGACTTGAAAGAACCGTGGAAATGAGCCGGCAGCCTGAGACATGTTTTTAGGTCTACAGCCGTACAGTGTGGTACATGCTTATATGTACTATCTATATGGACGTGTGTATATAATAGCGCCCGGCTACTGTGCTACATGGGCGCTCAGTCTGGGCTGGCTTGAAATAGAACGTCATTCTGAATTCCGTCATTGACGGGAGGGACTCTCAATCTCTCTAGCAGGCCTCTCTTCGATCCATCGGACCATGAGGGAAGAAAAGAGTCCGCGCTCGGAAGGCTTTCAAAGGGAACGTATATATCAAATTTCGTGGTCGCGGAAAATTCTCGGGAGGATTGCCGTCTAAAAGCTTCGAGAATGTGGGAAAAAAAGGGAATTTTCTTTCACGAATGGTCAGTCGGTCATCCGTCGAGCATGCGCCTAGGTCGAAAAAAAGGAAGAAAAAAAAAGATTGGTCGACCGATGCGTACCGGATCGACCCCTTCGTACACTGGCTGACGGCCGGCTCTGCTGACTTCATCAAAAGCCGGCTTGAATAAATAATTCAAGCCCTCGCTCGGCCGGCGAACAGATGTCACGAGGAATAAAAAATTTTATCAATACTCCTCGTTTTCGACGTCACGAGCCATTTAACAACCTTGCACGACGGCTAATCGACCTTTATCATCCATTAACGAGATTATCCCAGCGCGGTTTGGGGGGACGTGGAAGTACCTCCTCTCGCGAAAGGTACACACTCCTGATAAGCGTAGAGTGTACTTCCGGCGGTGCGACTTCAGCCACGATATCCGGTGAATTTCACGTATTAAAAGCCTCTTGGAAGCTCTAGGAGAAACGAACCTAGTCCAACCTCGAAAACACCCTGGAGAATCTCGGTGTTCGTCTGACCCTTGACCCCTTACCCTCTCGCCGCGATAACGGGTACGGAAGCATGGCGATGATCGGGGACGGGAGCCAGAAGGGAATAAAGAATGCGAGGATGCTGCGAAGCAGGATAGCCGGGAGGGGGGAGGCTACGGCCAAGCAAATTGGGAGTAAGATATGTGATGACGTAGGGAGAGCACCAGCCCCCGCTGTACCGCCGGTGCGGCGGCAATAGGAGATGCGCGGCGTGTGTTTTATTGGCCCCGGGATAAATGGAAGCTCATTTCACGACCTCTAACTCGACCATAAAAATGATAAAGAAGGATATCACTGACACAACTGCCGTGAAATATCAAAATACATATGGAAGCCACGCGGGATATACGCTTTATTGAGAATCAATACCGTCCCTTCGTTCGATCGACGTGACAAGATACGAAAGTTTACGTTCACGTGCGATATCGATGCTCGCCACACGCGAATTTCCTACTTGACGCTCTCCCGAACTTTATCGTCATACCTCT